TAAGCGGTGTATAGATAATGGATGGATGGATGGTTCAATTTTGGAAAATCTTTAAACAAGACATAGATGAAAGTGATTTTGATGAAATATCACTGATTTGGTTAATTTTGCGGACCCTCATGCAACACGATTCCTTCTAAGGCCACGAGAACGTTGATAATTTGACAATTCTTTCTGTTTTTACAGTTTCTGGCTCTGATAAATGGTGTAATCACTGCGGTATTTACAGATTACATGCCTCAGTGTTCAAATGGCTAATGTGAAACTCTTTGCCCCTCTTCAAACATTATCGTCACCATGTTAAGCCTCCCTTAGAGAAGAAGCCTGATAATGAACTGAATCTCACATGTCCAGCTTTAGAAGAAGTAAGCACGCTTCTGATCATGTTTGCTCAAAATCCAGCCTAGAAGCCGAGCCAAAGTCTAGCTGCTCACTGTTTAGAGGAAATTAAAATCAGTTGTTCTGATGACGATCGAGCGCTGCGAAGCTGGTGGAGAGCATGAGTCAACTCCTGACTCAGTGCACAGAGGCTGGGCGACCAGCTGGAGGGGTGCGTGTTTGGACCGCCGAGCTGCAGAATCAGAGCCGCTCTCTGCTTGAAAACAACACATCGCAGAGGAGGGAGCGATGGAGAGACGAGATAGAGAAAGAGAAATCGGAGATGGGGAAGCTGCAGACGTACAACCGAGTGTATGTGTGTGTGTGTGTGTGTGTTTGTGACCATGAAAGTGTTTGTCAGCCTGTTAAACGTCTTTCCTGTGAGGAAGCCACAGTCAAAGCTGCCACTACTGTCGAAGCTTTGAAGAGACGCTGGTGGTGCACCTGTGGTGAAGACGAACCTTTCATGTCACATTAAAGAAATGCTGCATTGCTGCTTTGAGCAAAAAGATAAACAACATACTGAGAGGCAAATAGTTAATAAAACTGGAAAATGTTTCATGCAACTGTGGGGTAAGAAACTTTGTCATTGTATGTGCTGCATGGGATCCTTTACAGCAGAATTATTTCTCTTGCAACTATAACATCACTGAATTGGAAGACTGAAGAGAAAAATAATTTGAAATATCTTTATCAGCAAAGCTAAAGGTAGAACAAGTGTTCCCACATTGCAGTGACGGGAAGCGTAGACGCCAACCGGTTATGAGAGCTGATAAACGGATGTGTGTGAGTGCATCTTTGCTGCTGTGTATTTGGGTCGGAGGGCTCACCTGTGGATTTATTGGAGGCCCGTCGTCTGATCTCGGTCACCATGAGTCGGGAGACCTGGGTGGTGAACTGCAGCAGGTCGGAGAACTTCTCCGTCATGGTGCTGGGTGGAGCATTTCCGAACACCTACAGCGGGAAAATCAGCTTTAGTGTAACCAAAATGAAACAGTAAAATAAAGTTAAAGTCAAGACAACAAGGCATTAAACAGACATCTACTCATTTGAATCCTAAATATATGCAGCCTACAGACGCTCACATCGAATAGAAACAAACAGAAATCATCAAGGTGGAGGTTCACTCGCTCAGGTTTTTCACAACATGTCCTACTTTCAAAGCCGCAGGGAACAATGCAGACGAAGGCTTTCGAGGGAGCAGGTCAAAGATAAACTCTGCTTCATTCAACAGAAGCTCATCGTGTATTTATTTATCCAGCAAATCTGACATTAAAGCCGGCCTGGAGACGGGCGTCCTGCTGCACGGGGAGTACTTTACTTTTCAAATTCTGACATGAATTATGCCACCAGTGAGTGAATCGCAGCCAGCGCTGGGTAATTAGCTGACAAGTCGAGAGACCCTCGGTAAGGCACTCCAGTCTGACGAGAACACTCAGCAGGGCTGTCAAAAGCAGCGGCTGCAAAACAAACAGGCTCATTATTCTATACCTGCAACATAAAGGAAGACGGGGAGAGCAGATGGACGGGCCTGAGTTCTGCATTTCTATTACAAACACAAAAATATTTGCCTGTGTGCAAAGAATGAATTAACTACAATATTTCCCTGGTTGTTTGGTGACTTCCTGGATCGTGTTTATTGCATCCTTACCTGCCTCACTAAAGAGCACCTGTCAGACCAGCCATGAAACACTTCCTTCTTCCCTTTGTAAACATAAATATTGGGATTTTCTTGAGTTTATTTGCAATATGTTCCTATGCAAAGCTCTGCTGGATGACTAAGACGATTCACACACAGTATAATCCCCTTAGACAAACAGTAGGCTGTCATCTGTCCATGTCTGGTGTCTTAGATGTTATTGGAGCCAAAAATGATTCCACTTCATTAACTAGTCAGTAAACAGAAACCCAGCCAGGAGAACTTTTATAATAAATATGTTATTCTAATGATCATATTAACAATTAGGGCTGAACAATCAACCGCTTACGACCCGAGCTCTTGTTTAGCTGAACGTTTGATATGCATTTAAAAATGAAAAAAAATAAAAATGCAATTTTAATTTAATTTTAAGGAATAAAATATATAAACAAAGAAAGTAAAAATAAATTTCAAAAAAAGCCAAACAGTGACGTCCATGCAAGTGGATGCCAGGTCTTTAGAGGTTAATTAAAATATTAGGTCCAAGTTTAATATCCAAATAGCAAGAACTCCTTTCTTTTTTTCTTTTTTTTTTTTTGTCTTTTGAATAAAAATGTAACACAATCATTTTAATTGTAACTATGTAAAAATGACCAATTCACTAAAATCTTATTGTACTTACAATATCATTTAAATAAATGTAACATGATTTTTCAGAATATCATTCAGCCCTAAAATTTATCGAACAAAAATCGTAGCTTTTCAGTGTATATATACATATATATTGCATACTTTAGGTTGGATTGCATAAAACAAGAAATTTGTGGAGAACACGTTGAAATCTCTGAATCTGGATGTTTTTTCACTATGTTTTGGTATTTCATAGATTTAAATCACCTGGAGCAGTAATTAAATACAAATTAGACTATGTTAGCTGTAATAACTCCCTGCTTGTTTGACCCACATTATTCAGATTTGGGTTATCATCTGTGTGTGCCACAAAACAATAAAATGACTTTCACAATCACAAGTGAAACACTTTCAGTGAGTAGCATGGAACTGTTATCTCTAGTTCTTGATGTGACCTAATTTTTGCATTGCTCATCAATGTCATTTTTTATCTTTTTGGCTTCTACTGACTATTACTGACAATAAAGATTATTGTCTCAGGTGTTCATTTGTGATGCAGCCTCTTGCTCTCAGATGATTTGTTTTGAAGTTGTGAGTTTAGTAGGGCTGCAGGTTAACTAGTTGGTCGATACGCTAACTGGGCATTTGTCAACTAAAGCTAAAAGCCTGACAGCGGCGTACAATCAAAACATTGATTTTTTTCTTAATTAAACTTAGTTCTGACAGTGTGTCTTTATTCTCCTGTGCACCTGTCCACCAGGTGTGTGCTACACAAGGTTCACTTTGTCGGCTGGTTTTGGAGATCTGCACTGTCATCAAGGGGCTAAAGATTAAATTCAAAGCTAATGACAGTAATTATATATTATTTCATGGCTATAGCATTTTTTTGTGACCCAAAGCTAGAATAAAAATCTCACTGTGCTTTGTTTAGCTGAACGTCAACGTTAGAGTGCACAAGTCAACGGGCCTATTTCCATTAGAATTAACTGCTGAACCAGAATGTGAGATATGATTAGCCAGGTGTGCACAGAAAAGAGCTTTTAACCACGAGATTCGAATCCCTAAAAGTCACCTGGTGGCATCTCAATTCCTCAATCTGTCCATTGTTTCTATCTGAGTGACTACACGAGTGATGGAGGCGTCAGGAGTCCGACAGCTCGCCCGACAGTAACTGATGTTTTTGAAAACTCCACCAGCAGGAAACAGCAGGTTTAAATGTCAGCTTCATACATCACTAAAACCAAATTAGGTAAGCCGTGAACTGCCGAATCAGAGCGGCAGTGTGTGCTGACATCTGCTCTTGTAATATTAATCCGCCTGCGTTTGAACCGGCTCCAGCTCCTCCCTCCGCCCCGCCGAGACTCACCCTGTTAAATACAGGAAGCATCATGTAGAGCTTCTCCTCCTGCTCCTTCTGGGTCATGTGTCGAGGCGGGTGGCACAGTTCGGAGAAGAGGCGTCGCAGGTGCATCAGGCCCAGTGCGTTGTCCTGGGGGCTGCACTCCTCCTGCCTCGGCCGCCCCATGATCCTTTTCACCATGTTCATCTTGAGCGGCTTTGTCAGGGCAAAGGCAGCCCTGCAGACGGGGAAAGAGAAAAGAGAAGGCGTAAGACGTTTTTCACTGCAACTCAGCGCTTGAACATGCTGTTGGGTTGAGTGCTGCACCTTAATGCATTCTGAACTTAGCTGCGTCTAAGTACTAAAAAACAGTCAAACAATAACGGACGGCTTTGTAATATTTAGGTTAGTTAGTGTAGCATATTTGTCTTGAGACAACATTAAACATTTTAAAAGTCTGACTTCTTTCTGTAATTAACAAGGGATTTGTAGAAAAACAAAGTGTTCAAAGGATTTTTAAAAAACACTGTTTTTGGATCAATGCCAAAAAACAACTGAGGCTCGATACCGATTATTAGCAATTAAGGAGACCAATAGTTAGAACTGATATCATTTGCTGTAAAATGAAAATCTTGGTTTCAACATTTAGAACAAGAAACTCAAACTCCAATTCCAANTCCAAAATCCAAGCCTGCTCCCAGTACTTCAGTTCACCCACCGTGCAATAAAAATGTAAATAATGCAAATAAGGACTGTGCAATTTCACAGAATTTTTTTCTGTAAACTCTTTTACTTCTGGAAGGAGAACGCATTTGTTTATATCTGTGCATTGTGTGCTGCTCTTTTATCCCCTGTAGTGTGTGTTTTTTTGTTTTTCTTTCTTCTACTGTAACACTGAAATTTCTCTGCTGCGGGCTCAATAAAAGGTTTTATTCATCCATCCATCCATCTATCTATCTATCTATCTATCTATCTAGCTAACACACCCTTTGTTAAAATGCCTTTGCTTCTTTATGTTTTATTAGCGATGAAAAATAATTATCTCAAACAATCGTCGGCAGCGTTATCAGTCTACAACTGGTTCATCATTAATGTTACTAAACTACAGCGGACACTATTCCATATGTTGGTCAGAGATTTTTCAGTAATCAAGGACAGCTGATTTTTGCTGGTTGTATCAGCCACTTGGCATTATGAGCGCTGTCCAAGCAGACCCTGGTCCAGCCCATGAATCTGACCACTAGCCAGAGGTCATTTACTGCTTTAATTTTACCGAGAATCAAACTTTAAAAAAATGATGTAACTTATAAAAAGCTGAAGTTAAAATCGATAATCAGTCGACTCCAAAAAACATCTGTTTACATTTCAAAATACTCAACTCTTGGTTTTGTTGATGTGTCTTGTAAATGATTTCAAAGACAGAACAGTGGTTCAAAGCTGAACTTGGCATCAAACCTCAATCACTATTTGTGATACAAAGAAACGGACATATTGTTTTTTTTATCTATAAATATATATATATATATATAGTGGCTTGCTGCTCCAAAGGCCAGCTCATAAATCAAGGCACTGTTTGCTCAGATAAACACATGTGACACATTTCATTCTGCAGATTGTACAGCGAGTTCAGGTCACCAGAAGTGTAAGGTGACAGACACACAAACAGCATCAACATCCGTGACTGATGTGAATGTTGCGTCTCTTCTCCCCTGAGCCTGGCTGATATACATATCTTTAGCCATTTGTTCCACATGTCGACTGCTCTCCAGACTATTTCAGACGGTTGCTAGGAGATTTCGCAGAACTGCAAAGCCTACATACGACGCAGATAAACATCCGGCGATAAAAACAGAATCAACAGCTTGGAAGAGTGCAACTAAGCTACGCATCAACCACAAATAAAAGCCTGCCTTTTAGCAATCACACTCGCGGTGACGGTGTTCATGGACACGCTAGTAATGAGTGTGAGGGCATTATGGGAACAAGAGAAAGGTACAAAGATGAACCTCTTTTGGCAGTTCTTGTTTCCATTCCCTGCATTTCTCCACCATACAAGTGCATTTTGAAGGTTTTGTTACACCTATGATGACAACACAACTGCCCTGACCCTTGGACTGTCGTTCTGTTACGGTTCAGCAGCTGTAAGCTTGCTCTACTTTTGAAATCACATGTAGCTCAAAAGGATTTGCTTGTTCTAAATTGCTGTTTTGTGCAAGACTTTCTTTTTTTTTTTTCAAACACCTGGACCTCCTTTTCATTTAAACAGCAGGTACACAGTATAAGACGACATCCCTGCTGCATTCGTCAGCTTGCAGAACAATGCCGAGTTGGACTGCAGCTAAAAAAAAAACTGCGACAATTCAGTCCCAGTCCTCTAAGAAACTCAGCAAACCCACGAACGGTGAGGAGACATGACAGTATATCGTGCAATCCCTGTATTTCCCAGAGTACTCCTCACAGTGAATTACCCTCACTTCAGGAATAGAGAAAAAAAATAGACCCTGCAGTTTGGCTTTAAAACTAAAAGCTAGCAGTCCTATGGATGCTACAAAATAGGCTTTTTGCAGCCAATTTTAATTACTTACAGCCATGATGCATCACAACCCGACTTTCATAAGCATAAAGCCTGAGCATAAAATGATAAATACAAAAACAGCGCTGACTTTTATAGTTATTTTATTGGCGAAAGTGCATCAAATAAAGCATCATCAGCAAGGTTAGTTTAAAGTCAGTCTTGGACCACTGTCAAAGGTGACACAGTCCATTATCTAAATTAATAAAACAAAAAGGAAAAGACCCCTTCTCAAAGGCTACTTAACCAGTAACTATGTTAGTTCTGGGGTTTACACAAAACTGTACCTGCAGCCAAAACGAGGTCTTTAAAGAGACTTCAGTTCCTGTTAAGATGCTCCACAAATCTCATGCTTTGCTCACATGTTTAAACCAAACAGCAACCACCCCAGCGTGAACTTGAAGCCAATATGGGAGTACCTCAATGTGTAAATACAATGAGTGTATACAAAGATTGATGAAGCATCCGTTACATCACCAGTATCCTCCTAACTCCTGGCTAATCTAACAATAATAATAACCCAAAGCGGTGAAGCGAAGGTGGAACAGAAACATCTCTAGGACATGGACTATGCATAACTATGCATCACTTTAAGTCTTAATAAAATGTAAACGGGTGACTTATATAAAAAATTCACCCTCTGTATAGTTGACATGAATTGGGAAATTGGCTATAAGGACCAAAACAGGTTGTGGTACCAGGCTGTAAACATGCTGATTCTGCTGTAAAGTTGGACATTTTAGCATGGAGGATGTGCTGTTGGAGTCGGCCTCAAGTGGATACTTGAGGAACTGCATTCATTTTTCAGCCTCAGAGGTTGCCATTTAGTAGAAAACCACCAACAGCTACTCAACTTTGGCACTAAAACCTCCCTGAATCCAATTAACTCCCATTCAAAAGGCATCAACTTCTCTCTAGAAATATTTTGTCATTTTTAAGTATTTTTCTTCCACAATTATAACGTCAGCTGCTATTGAGACAAAGGTCATTTTCCAAGTTCCTGCTCTGGTAATGAGATTCGCACAATGTTACACTAGGTTTGTTTGCACTTTTTAATTTGAATATCTGGCCTGTTAGCGTAATGTGGCTAAAGGAGCAACGTTAACCCATATGTGAACCAGTTTCCAGTAAGCTCGCGTGTGCTTCAGTTGGAGAAAGCTGTCATTGTTCGCTGAGTTTACATTTCCTTGTATGACATTTTTGCACATAAAATCACTTTAATAAACACTACAGGTCATTTCCTTTCCAACAGACTGCCATGACTTGCAAAAACACATCATTTAATACACCAAAGCATCGCTAATAATGTATTTTTGCAAGTATGTGGGAAACTTTTAGACACAGTTGTTCCTCTCCTACACAACAGCCTCATGAAATAAATATGCAACGAGTTCTTTTGTCTTAAATCATACCAGGAAATTTTCCCTTACAACATTCCTTTCTGGTAGCTTAAAAGATGTCCTGTTTGGTCTGAAACTGCAATGACAGGTGCCGCACTTCAGCTCAGCTCAAGAACCACTCTGCTTCAACTCACACAATGCACCATCGTCCTTGACACATACCGGTGTATCCACAGGTCAGCTTTCTCCACTCCTAAGTCCTGCTCTAAATGGAGCCTCAGTAGAGCTACTAAAGGACCCGGTGAAGTATTTTTCATTCCATCTCCTCGGCCACTGTTGTGATTTCTACACAAATCTGAATTCAAACCAGGCAGCCTCGGGGTAAGAGCCCCCGTGAGCGGGCTAATTCACTCTTGGCAAGCTTCTCCGTCTGTTGGCTGCATTTAAATTTGATTCCATTGTTGTGATATCAGGAGTGCTGGTGCGACGCAGATATTAGTGTATTTTTGAAGTAGATTGTAGCCTTGGCTGCACGCCAGGAACAGCTGATTTTGAATAATGTGACTGAGGATGCTCCTCCTTGCTGTTTGCCCTCTCTGTGAAAACAACAGCGTTCTGCTCTCGGGCCCACGTCAGACACGTTTTTTATTTTCTCCGCTAAAATATGTATTTTCAATTAACGTTACGTGCTACAAATCATTACAAATCAGTCGGTTCATACATTTGCAGCAGAGATCTGGAAATTAACTGTCAGATTAGAGGGGAGACACACTAATCTCTGAGCTTTTCTCTAGTCCCGAAATCACAGCTAATCTCATTTTATACACAATATGTACTGAGCAATATCGCGCTGCAGAAAGGACAGAAAAACACTAATTCGATTACCTCATGACCTCTCTCCTAATACCACCAACAGACCCAAATTTTGTCTTTTCACTGATTCAGTACGATGACTGTAAGGGCTAAGCGGGCAGATTATGTGTTCCCACTGGTCTGCCCTCTATTCACTGCTTTCTTGTTCAAGGCCTGCTTTGCCGTGACGGGCATCTTGAACAACCCACGTCTACTTCTCTCCTCGTCCCTCTCATTCCTTTAAGGACTGTCATAAAAGACAGCGAGACCGTGAAGAGCAGCATAATGGAAGAGACAGACGAGCTAGAAAGAAGCTTCCGAGTGTTATTCTGATTTACAGGAAAGTGGCATCTGTGGCACTCACGAAATTACTCAAGACCGAGGGCTTTGGTAACTCATTTTGCCCACACAGCAGGCCTGCCCTCTGCGTGAACTCACACTCAAACTCCAATTGCGTTTTTACATCCGCCATTT